AAGCCCAAAATCTCTGTAAATGTTTATGAAAATTAATAAAATATAATTATAGAAAAAAAATTTAGTTCAGAAACTGGTTGGAAAGGTAAAAAATGACTGCTTATCCTTAAACCTCTAATAAAAGATAAAAACAGCTAAAAAAAAAAAAAAGAAAAGAAAAATGGCTCCTAAGTAGGAACAGAGGGGTGAGGATGGGCTGGGAGAGAAATCATAGGGTCACACAATTTGATAGGTGGAGGGAGGAGTGAGTAAAGGAAATGGGAAAGATTTGGCAGGGATCTGGAAAGACATGGCAATGATGGGCATATTTCAATGTTGATTAATTTTCTAAAATATAATGAATGGCAAGGATTCTGAGGCTCCATCTAACATAATTTGGACATGTTGTAAGGAGGGACCAGCTCATGGAGAGGGACATTATGCTTGGTAGGGTGGAGGGACAGAGCAGGAGAAGAAGGCCCTCTATGAGGTGGATTGATTCAGTGACTGGGGTAATTGGGATGAAAGTGTCAGAGACAGTGTGTTGGCACAGGACAGAGCAGAGTTTAAGGCTGTTGTACATAGGGTCGCTATGAGTAGCAAGCGACTCAACAACATATAACAACAACAAAAAAAATGAATGGCAATGATTGCATGAAACACAATGTGATGAATGAAGGATAGTGTGAAACACAATGTATATAAACTTTGTAAGTAAACCAATATAAAATAAAAAATTATTTTTTATTTTATATTAAAAATGGCTCCTACAATGAAAGATTTTTTGAAAAAAATTTCTTTTTTGTGTGTGTACCGTGAAATCGGATCTGACTGGTATAGGAGGAGACTGTCCCTCCTTCTCCAGCAAAGCATCTGGTGGATTCGAACCACGTACCTCTGGGATTGCAGTGCAGTTTCTTGCCAGTAGGCCATCAGAGCCCCCTAATGAATGAATTGTTTAAAGAGAAAAGTGAAGTAAGGGGGTAGGGAGGAAAATGTGCAACAACGAATGAATGGAAATCCAAATTTTCTTTAAAATCACTATTAAAAGAAAGTCTCTTTAGAAGTAAGCTGCTATATGTGAAGGGGAGTATGAATATATGAATAACACTATTTCTCAATGCTCTGTTTCTATTAATTGGCTCCAAACAAAGTTACTCAGCTCACCAAACCAATACAGTTCTCTCCAGTGTAAAGGCAGCAAAGGTTCCAGGCATGCTCTCACCTGGGCCTCCCAGGGCCAGCCGTGGACCTGGCACTGTGGAAGCCTCTGAGCAAGCAATACTTGCTAGCTGGTATGCAAGTATAACTTCTAAGGAGGATTTAAATTGATTTCTGAAACATTTCTTATTTTTATGAGCAATATTTAATTTTTCCTGCAATTGGGTCCAGGATAGATGAGAAAGCAAGTAGAATTAATTTTGTGTTCTTTTCTTTTCTGAAAAGGCTTTTTAGAATATTTGCTTACCAAAGCAGACAAAACAGTGTACTATAAACCCCTTGTAAACCTTCCTTTTCTTTTTACATTTTATTCATTTTTATAAATTAGTGATGGTAGACAAATCTATAGGGGGGGAAATACACCTTTGAGTCCAACATTCCCCTTCCTTGTGTTACAGGTTGGTTTTGGTTTTTGAAGGTTCACAAAAAGATTGGTTTTATCCATTCATTCACTTCCATTTCTTTTTTTTTTTTTTTACTTCCATTTCTTTTAAAATATTTCAAACTTCTAATTTTCTCAAGTTAAGAAATTTTGTTAGACACATCTCTATTATTTACTTTCTTTTCCAGATTCAAGTTTTCTGGCCTGTGGCAAGGGCTGGTTGTTTGGAATTTTATGAAGGCTGTCTGGTGACAACTTACCAATGTTGACCGAGTCTTCCCAGTCTTCCAACACTTCTGTGACAATAAGCACATAGACATATGTTCTGTGCTTCCTCTCTTGGTTCTGAAGGGGACCAACAAAAAGGCAAAGAAAAAGTTTGTCCCTGAGACATATTTCCTTAAACATATTTTATGCCTACAATCATAGAGTATAAATAAAAAGATTCTTATTTTTTACCATCCTACAACCATATATAGGTGACTCGATAGCACATAGCAACCACCACCATCATATACGGAATTGTACTCCTTTAAAATATGCCACACTTGAAAATAAAGATGCTATATTTGGTAGTGGCACTAGAGAACTGTCATGCTTTGGTAGACAAATCCACGCCAGCAAGCTGGGTATCTTGCATACTTTCCATACTTTCCCTTAACCTTTGAGTACAGATTTTCATTTTCTTGTGCTTCCTTCAATGTTCCTCCAAATTGTACCACAGTCTGTTTCCTTGATGTTCCTTTCTATTACCATAACTAGTATATTCTTTTTTCCTGTCTTTTCTATATTTACCCAACCTTCTGGCCACTTTGGGAGAAGATGGACGAAAGGTGGGACTGGGAGAAAGATAAAACCAATTCTAGTTGTTTGAGAGACTGTGGCATTCAAAAAAGAAGAGCATACTAGTCTTTGTTTAGAAAATAAATGAAACAGAGATAGCATCTTTCTTATATTAAAATATATATGGTAAAAGAACATAAAGTTACTAATATACTCATGATATTAAAGATTTTAACACTTACCTCAAAAATCCCAACTAATCTTCCTAATGTCCCTTTAACTCCAGCCTAGAGAGTACAAAAAAAAAATTAATGCACTGACATTGTTCATACTGGTGATCTCATTCTGAATTTTCTTGAGCCATTTATAAAATCAAAATAGAAAACAAGAGGATACATTTAAGGAAGTTTCCAGGTCTGTGGAGATTACACCAATGCTTCTCGATGTGTCTGAGTGTGTTAACAACATGGCATATTCTGGAGAGAAAGAATTCCTTTCATCTCTTTAATGTAAAGTTAGCCAAAAATAAGAGTGAGTAATCAAGGCCATGAAGCTATTCTGAAGATATTTTCAGGCATTAACTATTAACTTTTGTATTATTTTACTTATTATTTTTTATCATATTATTATTTTCACTTATTAACTATTTCATTCAGCAAATGTACTAAATTCCAGGTTATCAGTTGTAGGTACCAGAAGTAGAGCAATGAACTGGCTGAATTTGAAGACCTAGGAGAACAGAACCTTTGAGAGACTTGGTTTTGGCTACATGCATTAGATATACAAAACAGATTTCAGCTCCCAGCAGCAGCTCACAAGCACACTGTCATTTGACAAGGGATAGGCACTGTGATAGAGATGTACAGAACAATGTGACAAAGACTGGGGAAGGGAGAACTTCATGCAGTGGTCTTTATCTTTTCTTTGTTGTAAAAATGCATACAACAAAATATTTGCTACTACCTGTCAGCAAAGGCTTGTGTGTTGCTATAATGTTGGACAGATTTCAGAACAGCTTCCAGGTTAAGGCAGACTAGGAAGAAACGGCTACTATTCTACTTCTGAAAACCAGCCAGTGAAACTCTACTGACTGCATCTACAACTGATTAAGGAGATAGACCATGATCAGCTAGAGTTCTTTGTAGGAGGTCGCCAGGAGCCAGGGGGTCAACTGGATGGCAGTTACCAATAAAAATAACTAATGATATGCACACCCATGTTTATTGCAGCTTTGTTCACAATAGCAAGGAGTTGGAAACAACCCAAGTGCCCAGCAAAAAATGAATAGACAGAGAAGCTGTGGTATATTCACACAATGGAATACTACGCTGCATTGAAAAACAAGGAACTCATTAAATAGTATTCAAAATGGTTGACCCTGGATTGACATTATGCTGAGTGAAATATCTCAGTCACAAAAGGACAAATACTGCATAATGCCACTGTTGTAAAATGGGACTGACTTTGGGGTTGGGGGAGACTGAGAAAGATGGGATAAATGATGTATACTGCATTGAAACAGATGAGGGAGAAAACTGTTTAAAAGGGATATGTGATTAGGTATTTTTGTCCTGACAGGATTCCAGAACGGAGCTGCATCGTGGCATGGACCTGGGTGGGAGGGATTTGTAAAACAATTAAAGAATTTGTCTTTTACTTTCCAAAGAGACTAGTGTACTGGGGAGGAGGAATGGGCAGGGAGAAAAGTGCAACAGTGAATGACTGGAAATCTAAAATCTCTGTAAATGTTCATTAAAATAAATAAGTATAAAAAACCCAAATAAATTAAAAAAGGGGAAAAAAAACCCCAAATGATGTTGAACATATTCCCCACCCCCAATAGGTATATCATCTTTGGTAAGATGGTCTCCTCAAATCTTCTGCTCATTTTTTGACTGGGTTATTTGACTTTCTGTTGTTAAATTGGAGAAATTCTTTATATTCTGGGTCTTAAAATGCTTATATTGTTGTTGTTGATGTGTGTAGAGTCAGAACTGACCCATAACTGACCCTCCAGAAGGTTTTCAGAGACAGTAAATCGCACAGGAAGACTGCCCATTCTTCTGCCACAAAGCAGCTGGATTAGAACTATGCGCCTTCAGGATTGCATCACAGCTTATTTCCACTAGGCCAAAATAGATGGCTCCTAAATACTTTCCCCCTCTATTCTATCTCTTCACTTCGTATGAAAACTCTTTCCATGTTCAGAAAATGTTAAAATTTTTCTAAAGACCTATTATTTTGTAATCAGGTATCTGTGTTTTGGTGTCATCCCCAAAAATCCATCATAAAAAACTAGATCCTGAAAGATTTCCACCATGAGTTTCTTTCAAGGGTTTTATGTTGTGGTGGTGAAGCCTTCTTAGTATATATATCTGTCCTTTTGTATTTTTAGATTTGTTTCTCTAGATGAATTTTTCTGCTTATTCTGATTTACTGATTTTCAGCTGTATCCAAGGTAGAGCTATCCCATCGTTAGCCTATTTTTTATGATTAATATATTTTTAATTTCTATCTGCTCTTTTGATAAGCACTTGTTTCTATATGGCCACTGGTACTTATTCTCATACAATTCTGGGTGGTTTTAATTTTTTTTATTATTACTATTTTTTGTGTGTGTACCTCAAATCGGATCCGACTGGTACAGGAGGAGAGTGCCCCTCCTTCTCCAGCAGAGAACTGGTGGATTTAAACCGCATACCTTTGGGATTGCAGTGCAGCTTCTTGCCACTAGGCCACCAGAGCTCCCTTGGGTGTTTGTTGTTTTTTTTTAAAGAAAAGGTTATGCTTTCCTTTACTTTCAGATATCTTGAACTTGTTAATTATAGGTTGTCTGTAGGGCGGTACTATAATATTCATTTCATTGAAGTGAATTTATATTCCAGTTACTGAAGGGTTTGCCTTTGAAGTTGTTTTCCAAAGCCAGATCTTAAAATGACAGCATGGGGTTCCTGTTCGTAAGTGTTACTGCAGATAGAGCTACAGATCTAGAGGGTAAGTTGGCACCATCCTCCTTTGTGTGTTCTCCACGTCTAGACCCACATCCTTCTAAAAGTTTTTGTTATCATTTCATGCCCCCCTCCTTTATCTCCAGAAGGAAACCTAGACATTCCAAAGCATTCAAATGCCAACCCCATTGTTACCTCTGTACCTTCTGGTTCCACAACTCTGCTGTTTCAGATCCAGAGGTGTTGATCTTGTTTTCAAGCCTGGTTTTATCTTTTTTAGCTCTTGCTTTTTGTATTTTATCTGTCTTTGCTGGGAATTTGGACAGAAAACATGAAGGAAAGAGGAACCTACTGTGCCAGCCTGGCCAGCAGGGCTTGTGTAACTCAGTAACTTGTTCTCCAGTGTTTGTATAATAAATTAAAAGTTAAAGCAAAAATACTTTCTAAACATAGTAAGTGCTAAATTTTTGTAGAATGAACAAAAGTTTTAAATAAAAGCTCTAAAGATTCTTAAGAGATACTGAACACTAGAAATCTGATTAAAAGACCTACTAGGTAAGCTATATTTTGAAATTAATTGGCACTTATTATCTGGCAAAGAATTAGTTTCCTTTTTCTAACACGCCTGCTTGCTTTATTATTTTATATCCATTCGGTTCCCCAAAATGGCTTTCAGTCTACTTAAATGGAAATGTCTACCCTTTCTTATTTAAATTGCTTCTCTACAATTTTAGGAATAATTGCCTTCCACAGCCAGCTAAGACTAGCTATATTGTTGTACTTTAAGAATTAACCAATGAAGCTCACTGAACAAGTGGAACAAGCTGGCAGGCCAGCCTGGGTTGGAAGGCCAATTCTGCCCTTGGATCCAGGCAGCCCACATATGCGCATATCTCCTCCTGAGATGCATCACATGTGCTTCTACATAGGCCTCTAAAGACAGGGTCAGGGAGCAGAGCTGTGGGCACAAGTTACGGGCATGGGGGATGGTGACAAAAGATTTATAGAGATCTTTATTTACCTATCTCTTCTGCAAAGTGGAGAGCAAGAAGACTTCTCACCAGCAGCTACTATTCAACTAATTTTTCTCCTTAAAGAAACCAAAGTTTAAAAAGGGAAACAAACTCCCAAATTGTAAGGGCATAAATCAGCTTAATATTATGAAAACTTACTATGCTTTATTTAAAACTTCTGTTTAATAATTTCTGAATTTACTGTCAGAAGCAGTGGGGGAAAACATAAAAATACCTTTCATCATGAAATAAATTTGTCCTTAAAAAGTCTAGTATAAATCAAATAATACTGCCATTAATCTTCAATTTGTAGAAGCTAGTAATAGATTTACTTGTCCTGAGTCTTCCTTTCAGGTTTCATATGAATAGTCAAAGATCTATTTGGCAAAGTTCTGTTTTTAAAAAATCATATGAGGGGGCCATGGTAAAAAGCAAAGAACTATTTCTATATTTAATCAGGTTTTAAGATTAGGAATTAGCAGTTTTCTTAGAAGACTGTTTTTCAGTAAGAAAAAAAGATTTCCATTATTTAAAACCATAATATTAATAAAAAGAAGGGTTCCTTTAATGAGCAACAAGAATGGGAAGAGCGAGTGAAGGGAGTAAAAATTAACAGATTAATTGGGTAAAGGGAAATGCAATATACAACAGAAGATTCATGAGCTAGTCTAATGAATTAGTCAATTATAATCAATGTTACAAAAACATGATGAGTGATTGAGAAACAAATATGCTTTATAAACTTTCATTCAAGGGAAAGGGAATAAATTATACTGAATAAGGGAGGGGAAGAGAGTTCCTATAGGCAAGGGTCCTCCAAAATGCAGTCCATGTCAACCATTTTACTTCTTCCACATTCCTCCCAACTCGGACCCAACTTGCAGCTCCTACTTCTTCCTCAGTGCTAGCCAAGCAATCTGAAAGTCAGTTATTTTTATCCCTCACATGATTGCTGCATGCAGGTCTGGGTAGGCGTCAGGGTCATATCTGACAGATATTTGGCTCAGGCATTTAGGAATAAGATTTGATTCAAGGTATATGTATATTTGGTCCCTTTGTTTAAACCTGCTTTTGTCAAAATTATATGTTAAGATTTCAATTAGTATGCCAAAAGTCTAAATCCAAACAAGTCTTTATTTAAAAGCACATCTTGATTGGTAGCAAGAATTCCAAATAAAATGTCCACTGCCTTTCATCATGTAACCAAATGGAGTTGAATGATTCCTTGAACCTGTAATTAAAGTATGATGATATTAACTGTGATGCTGTAAGTCTAGTCAGCAGAAATAGTCTGAGTAACTGCCTATTTTGTAAATGAACAAAGGA